CCACCAATGTGTGTGTGTGTGGGAGGGGGGGGGGGGCGGTTCCTACTGACCATAACTGTAAGAGACCCTTCTCTGCTAACCACCAATGTAAAGGAGCCCTTTCTCCACTGACCATCAATATAGGGGACACTTTTCTACTGACCAGCAATTTAAGGGAGGGCCATCTTCACTAATCAATAGTGTAAAAGCCATTCTTTAACAGTCAATGTGAAGGCCCTTGCTCGACTGACCATAAGTGTAAAAGTCCCTTATCTGCTAGCCAACAATGCAAGGGGGGCCTTTCTCACTGCCCACCAATGTAGGGTGCATTTCTCCATTACCCACCAGTATTGTCTACTTTTCTTTTACTGGACAATATTTGTATTTTAATTTCATGGTTATATAAACATAGCTTTAATGATTACTACAACTTAACCACTTGCTCTCTTGAGGATTTACCCCCCCCCCCCCTTCTTCCTGACCAGGCCATTATTTGCGATTTGGCACGTCAGAAGCATTGCCAAGAGAAAGATGAGAGACATGAGACTGAAAAATGCAGAAGAGCTGAAGGTCGCTATTGAAGCATCCTGGTCTTCCATAACACCTCAGCAGTGCTACAGGCTGATAGCTTCCATGCCACGCCGCATTGAGGCAGTAATTGCTACAAAAGGGGCCCAAACCAAGTACTGAGTACATATGCATGCTTATACTTTTCAGGGGTCCGATATTGTTCTATATACAATCCTGGTTTTCTGCACAACTGTCAGGTCAGCAGTCTTTCCCATGATTGTGATTCCTACTGAACCAGACTGAGAGACCATTTAAAGGCTCAGGAACCCTTTGCAGGTGCTATGGCTTAATTAGCTGATTAGAGTGGGGCACTTTGAGCTGAGAATATTGCACCTTTTCACAATATTCTAATTTCCTGAGACTGTAGATTTGGGGTTTTCATGAGCTGTAAGCCATAATCATCACAATTATGACAAATCACGGTTTAACTAGTTTGCTTTGCATGTAATGAGTCTATCTCATATATTAGTTTCACCTTTTAACCTCCTTAGCGGTAATCCCGAGTGTAGCTCGGGGTAAAATTTCTATACCAAGAGCGGTAACCCTGAGCTACACTCGGGCTTACCATGCGGTGCTGCTCTGGGGGTCCCTGCAGCACTTACCTTGTCCTTCGCTCCCGCGATGTGTCCCATGCAGCGTCCCCGGCCATCTTCTCCGGCCGATGCCGGCATCCGGCTTCCGTGTTCCGGTCCCTGTGACATCGGGACGTACGGGCGCTGGGACCGGCGGGAAATTTGAAATTTTTTAAAAATGTCATTTTTGCTGTCATTGCTGTTTCACTGCATTTCACATACATTTTGTCCCTAGTGCTTTGTCCTGTGCCCTGCCTGCATTTTGAATGTTCTTTCTGCCTGGAAACTGAGAAAAGTCCATGGCGTCCAAAAAGCGTCCCTTTACGTCAAAAGCGGTTTTAGAGCAGCGATAGTAAATCAGAACCACTTGCAGAATTGAGTGATAATGATTTGTGGGGAAATTCGTCATCAAACACTGAAAACGATTTTGCGACTTTGCTCAGCGATGTGCGAATTTGCCTCTGTATTTCAAATTTCAGTGTTTTTGGTTTGATTATATTATTGAATTAAATTTATTATTATATTATTATTTTTTATGATTATTTATTAAATTATAATTTATGATTTCGTGTTTCAAACTTTATCATACCTGGGATGTTTAATAGACTCTTGTTCGGACAGATTTCAGTGAGTTATTCCTAAAAATTACAGCCTACAATAAAAAACTACATATTTCCATGCAAAAAAATGGTACCGCTTTCAGCACAAAAAATCGGAAAGAATCATACCGCCGAGGAGGTTAAGTTGCATTACTGAAATAAATGAACTTTTGCACGATATTCTAATTTTTCGAGTTTCACCTCTATATACTGGAACTTTTTTTTGAACTAGTAATGGTGGCGATCAGCGACTTATAGCGGGACTGTGGCGGGCATTCTGAATTCTGACACTGGGGGGAACTGACTTGGTATCACTGATATCCCCAGTGACACCAATACAGTGATCTGTGCTAATAAAAAGCACTGACACTCTACTAATGGCACTGGGCAGAAAGGGGTAAACATCTGGGGCGATCAAAGGGTTAACTGTGTGCTGTTTCACATTATGTGCTGTGTGTGTGCTTCACTTTAAGCACACTGTTTTATATGGCTCTGCTATTCAGAGCCATACAAAGTAGTGTGCAGGAGTTAAGAGAAGAGAACTGTATTTTTTACATACAGTTCTCTCCCCCCCGTTGGTAATACTCAGAGATCACCGGGTGTCGGCGTGTAATCACCGGCCAGGACCCGGTGATTGACAGCCAAGGCCACGAATGGCGGTGCGAGTAGAGCGTGCAGCACGTGCACACCTCCTACCTGGATCTGTAAAGTCACGTATATATACGTGATTTTGCACACCCGTGCCACCCTGTAGCAGTGTGTCTGCTATAGGGCAGACGAGAAGCGGTTAATAATGATGCTCATGTACTGTGAGCTATGGATATAACATTTTCAGTAGGGGTTTCTCTGAGACCTGAAAATTCATTCAAAGGTTCCTTTGAGATAAAATGCTTGAGAAAGTCTGGTCTAGGAAAAAGATGCTGACCCCGGATGATGCCTGTACAAAGATGGCTCTATACAATTGAAGGGAAAAGCAGCTGAAGGCATTATCTGTAGGATTATTGTGATCTCTGACAGGTATATCAATTCCTGTAATTGTTACACATGCACAGTACTTTGCAAGCAAGCACTTATCTTGAAAATGTATATCTCGTGCTGGGGCCACTTTAATCCTTTTATTGTCACTGCCGCATTCCCTACGACAGTGACAGCAGAAGTTTTACACATATTCCCAGCAGATGCAGCCATTGGGAATGTGTGTACCCTCCACAAGCCAACTGTCAGCTTCTTAATTGCATCGATTTGGCGACTGTACAGTAGCACGATCATTTTTTGTCCCCCAGAGTGTGCTCCTCCACTGGCACAACACCCCCTCACCCTCATGGCAGGTTTTACTGGGTAGTGTGGAGGGACACCAGCAAATATCTGGGTCCATTATTTAGGGTTATCACTAAATTGATGACCTTTAGGGGCTTGTAAAGCATTGTCTATCAAAAATATAGGGTACAGAAGTTCATTGTCATTTTGCGGGCTCACATAAATTTAAAGCTTGACATGTTGGGTATCTATTTAATTGACACAAGCTCATCTTTTATATTTTTCCCCCAAAATTAGTAATATATTACATTAATACACACGTATTTCTTACTGAAATTTTGCACATGATAAACCATTGCGTGAATATCACGTGACATAAAAAATTGAAACTAACACCATTTCATTCTTGTCTGCTTTCAGAAATTATATAATCTTTGGCGGTTTAAACTAATCATCAGCCCTAAAATGATTTTTATATGTGTGCAAAAATGCAAAAAAGGCTCTGGCAACAAAAGGGTTAAGGGACTTAATTATAAAACATTTGTAGGACAAATGTCACACAGATATGTGCATACTGGATGAATTCTCCCAGTATTTTCTGTGTAGACTAATTCCTATGATTATCAGCTCCATTAAGTGACCAAAATGCTGTATATTTTCTCACTGATATATTTTAGAAAACTATACTGTATTTGGCCACTAGATCGAGCTCACAATCATAGGAATTAATCTATTACAAAATATACAGGCAAAATTTGTCCAGCCTGGACGAATGCTTGTAACATTCATCCAACTAATGTTTTATAAATATGTCCCTAAGTCTAGCAGTAGAGTTTGACCATTCAGAGATGGTTGCACTCTGATATCTTGCTGAAAATACAAACAGAGCTTTGGCAAACAATTTGCTATTATTAACAAGGGGTCTAGGAGATAAAGGAAAAAAACACCTTAAAATGTCGTAAAATTTGGATTTTCTAAGCAAGAAAATAACGTATTACTAAAAATATGCTCTTTATAAATTGACCAGAAAGATAACAAAACTATTCCTGTAAGAGGTTATTTGGTCCTATAAAAGTATGAATCACCGTGACCACAATGACAGCATGCTTATCACAGCCGTCTGTAGAACATACTGTGAAACATGCCTGTTATTCATAGCCCTGGAGACACAGTTTGTTAGGGTTGATTGACTACAGGCAAACAGGCTATTCACTTTGCAAGGGAATTTTACCCAGAGCTTAGTGAATGCGGTGAAACTCTTCAAAGGATACCCAATCACATGCAAGGAAAATAGCAAAAACAGTAATCTGACTTGCAAATGACTGGATAATGAAAGTCAGCAGTGCTTTACCACTTTCACTAAGCTAAGGTAAATGTCCAAATCTATTTGCCCTTAGTAAATCAACCCCTTTGTGCTATACCTTTGATTATTAGTATGTGCTATAGAAACAAAATTTACATGTAAATAATATTTATGTGATGGTATCATAGCAGAGAATAACATCTGCGGCTAATACTGAGAAGTGCCTTACCTATGAATCAGATTAACCGCTAGCCTACAGGGCACTTATACCCCCTTCCTGCCCAGGCCAATTTCCAGCATTCAGCGCTGTCACACTTTGAATAAAAATTGCGCGGTCATACAACACTGTACCCATATGAAATTTTTATCATTTTCTTGTGACAGATAGAGCTTTGATTTGGGGGTATTTAATCACCTCTGGGTTTTTTTATTTTTTCTTAAACCAAAAACCACTGAAAATTTTGAAAAAAAAACGTTTTTTTCTTAGTTTTTGTTATAAAATTTTGTAAATAAGTGATATTTCTCCTTCACTGATGTGCGCTAATGAGGCTGCAGTGATGGGCACTGATAGGCTGCACTGATGGACACTGATAGGCTGCACTGATGGGCACTGATGAGGAGGCACTGGTAGGTGGCACTGATGGGCATTGACAGGCATCACTGATGGGCACTGGAAGGCAGCACTGATACATGGCACTGATAGGTGGCACTGATAGGCAGCACTGACAGGCACCTATAGGCGGCACTGATGAGCACTGATAGGCAGCACTGATAGGTGGCACTGATGGGTGACACTGAAAGGCAGCTCAGATGGGCACTGATATGTGGCATTGATGTGCACTGGTAGGCACTGATATGTGGCACTGATGGGCACTGGCACAAGGCACTGATGGACACTGACAGGTGGCACTGCTGGGGCTACACTGATCATCAGGGCACACTGATCATCAGTGCCCTGATGATCAGTGTACATGTCAACTCCGTGGAAAGCTGATTAGCGGCTCTCCTCTCCTCTCGAGCTGTCAGCGTGACAGCTCGAGAGGAGAGAAATGCCGATAACCGGCATTTCCCTGTTTACATGTGATCAGCTGTGATTGGACACAGCTGATCACATGACTGAACCGACATCTTTGGCTCTTTCCGTCATCGGTGATCCCACAGCGCACCGCCAATTGCCGTGCGCTCCCTGAGCCGCGCATGCATGGTGAGAATGGGAGGACGTCATATGACGTCCTCCCAGAACGAGAGAACCACCTTGCACCCATCATTGGACTATATGGCAGGCGGGAGGTGGTTAATAAACATTACCTTAAATTAGGTAAAGTAGCTATGATGCATGTTACAAAATATAAGAATACAGTATCTCTTTTTTAGAGATACTGTATTTCTGTTAAATACCTTACAGCAGAAATATGAAAAGACTACAGTTTTACACTTTTTTTTAAAGTGGGTCCCATTTTTTTCCTTTTGGCTAGAGTAAGGAAGTGTTGAAACCTCTGCCATGCTTTCACTGCTGTGTATGTCTCTGATGGGAAGGTTTCCCTACTCTTTCAACCCCAATAACTGTAAAGGAGGTTAGGGAAATTTTCTTCAATAGAGATCCATACAGCAAGCCTCACCCAATACAAAGGGCTTTGCTTGCCCTTGGAGGGATTTTGTTTGCTCTGTCTTGTTGACCATGTAAAAAGTGAGAGAACATTACAAATCTATTAAAAACAAAAAGTGAGAGAAAATGCCTGCAAATGAGATACAGCAGTAAAAACTTCACAAGGGTTCTAACTCTCCCTTATATTACATTTTTAAATTCATTACCAGCTCTATCACCCACCAGCAAAAATGTAAAAACATGAAAATTAGATGTACATACAGTTGTGCTCAAAAGTTTGCATACCCTGGCAGAAATTGTGAAATTTTGCTATTGATATTGAAAATATGACTGATCATGCCAAAAAAGGCTCTTTTATTGAAGGATGATGATCATATGAAGCCATTTATTATCAAATAGTTGTTTGGCTCCTTTTTAAGTCATAATGATAACAGAAATCACTCAAATGGCCATGATCAAAAGTTTACATACCCTGGAATGTTTGGCCTTGGTACAGACACACAAGGTGACACACGGGTTAAAATGCCAATTAGAGCAGCGTTTTTCAACCACTGTGCCGCGGCACACTAGTGTGCCGTGAGATATTGTCTGGTGTGCCGTGGGAAAAATTCCAATTTCATCTGTAACATGTGGCTTCGGCTCACAAATAGACCAATCATTAGAATCTAATGATTCAGTGGTCGGCAAGCCGCGGCTCGCGAGCCACATGCGGCTCTTTACCCAGTCTAATGCGGCTCTTCTGTGTGCCGGGCGCCTGCTCCCCTCCCTCCTCTCGGTCGGCCGCTCCCCTGCCTCCTCTCGGTTGGCAGCCCCAAAAGTCCGCGCGGACCTTTTAATCCGGCTTGCGGATGTGGCTGTCAGGATGTGTGTAGGCGGGGCAGCGTGCCGAACGTGAGGGGAGGGGAGCTAGGCTCCTCTCACAGTCCGCCCTGAAGACCCGAACGGCGCGGGAAGACAGCGAGAGGAACGCAAAAGGTAAGTGAATTGACACGGGGGACTTGGCTTACTAGAAAGGGGGGGGGGGAATAGTACTGTGGGGGATGAAATACTATATGAGGGATGAATTACTTTATGAGGGATAAAATACTATATGGGGGGGGATGAAATACTATATGGGGGATGAATTACTATATCAGGGATGAATTACTATATGAGGGATGAAATACTATATGGGGGGATGAAATACTATATGGGGGGATGAAATACTATATGGGGGGATGAATTACTATATGAGGGATGAAATACTATATGGGGGGATGAAATACTATATGAGGATGAAATACTATATGGGGGATGAATTACTATATGAGGGATGAATTACTGTATGAGGGATGAAATACTATATGGGGGGATGAAATAATTATAAAATAATTTCTTTGTGTTTGATTACTATTCAAGAGAATTACTTTATATATAGTCAATATAGGCACAGAGGTAATTTTTTTTAACATTTTCTAATGGTGGTGTGCCTCGTGATTTTTTTCATGAAAAAAGTGTGCCTTTGCACAAAAAAGGTTGAAAAAAACACTGAATTAGAGGTTATTGTCCCACATCTGTGGCTTTTTAAATTGCAATTAGTATCAGTGTATAAATAGTCAATGAGTTTGTTAGCTCTTACAATGAAGCACTGACTACGCTAGATACTGAGCTATGGGGATCAGAAAAGAACTGTCAAAAGTCCTGCGTAACAAGGTAATAGAACTTTATAAAGATGGAAAAGGACATAAAAAGATGTCACAAGCCTTGAATATGCCAATCAGTACTGTTAAATCACCTATTAAGACGTGGAAAGTTCAGGGATCTCTTGATACCAAGCCAAGTACAGGTAGACCAAGAAAGATTGCAACCATAACTGACAGAAGAATTGTTCAGGATACAAAGGGAAACCCATAGGTAACCACAAGAAAAATACAGGCTGCTCTGGAAAAAGACAGTGTGGTTGTTTTGAAGGAGCACAATATGATGACACTTGAACAAAAATGAGCTGCATGGTCGAGGTGCCAGTAAGAAGCCTTTACTGCATCAATGACACAAAAAATCCCAGTTACAATATGCCTGACAACACCTTGACATGCCTAACCAGGCCTTTTTGTGTCATTGATGCAGTAAAGGCATTTTTATCATGGCCATTTGGGTGATTTCTGTTATCATTATGACTTAAAAAGGAGCCAAACAACTATTTGATAATAACTGGCTTCATATGATCATCATCCTTCAATAAAAGACCATTTTTGGCATGATCAGTCATATTTTCAATATCAATGCCAAAATTTCACAATTTCTGCCAGGATATGCAAACTTTTGAGCACAACTGTGTATTATGCAAATGTTATCATTCACTGCTATGGAATGCATTGTTCTGTATGTAGAACAGCTTGTTAAGTACAGTGTCCATTGGAAACTATGTACCTAATAAACTATCGGCTGCGTGCCAATAAAAGTGCAGGTTGTAAAATGCATCCTGAAGCTCTAAATAAACAACAAATCGTAATGCATGTTTCTATTAAATGCAATATGTGCATCAGAAATGAAGATATTCCTGTTTGCAACAGGTCACAATAATGTTGCAATTTGTGCGCAATATAATTGAAAAGACTGCATATATGTAATGTGCATGGAATGTAGTGCTCCAAGCAGTAGGTGGCACATGACTCCTATTTATATAAGGCAATGAAGCATACTATTAGGCCCCTTGCACACGGGGCGGAATACCGAGTGCTCAGCAGCCGATCTATCTGCTAATCCCCCGCTGATCAGAGACGGTGGATGACAGATCCATATCTGCTGATTTTATGCAGAGTGGACACGGACCGAGGCCACTCTACTCTATGGCGGCCGGGTGTAAATGGACTGGAGGGGAATGGATTCCCTTCTATTTTTTTTTTTTTTACAGGACCAAATCTACTTGGAGGTAGGCAGGTGTAAATGCACACAAGTGCGTTTACATCCGCCGATCCATAGGGATACATGGACCATCCAATCAGGTCAGCCTGAAAAACTGACAGGCAGACCTGATCGGATTCCCTTGTGAAAAGGGCCTTACCACTCAATTCAATCCAAAAGGAGATTGTGACATAAGCTACCTTCCTCTCCACCTCAGCCAATCAGAGGAAGGCTTGTATAGGTGTACCTCGGTTTACAAACGCCTCGGTTAATGTAATTTTCGGTTTACGAATGAAATCCATTGACAACAATGCCTGTCTGTCTATTCCGGTGGTTTGACAGCTCTTAAATAGGTAAGGGGCGTGGCCACCCGGGAACATCACGCATGTGACCCCACTATATGTGACATCAATGATGTCACGTGGGGTCACTCGGGTAATGTTCCCGGGTGGCCCCGCCCCTTACCTATTTAAACACTGTCAAACCACCGGAGCAGACAGACAGCGAAAGCCATTGTCGGAAGCAGAACCTTTTTTTTTTATTCTTTTTTTCGGGTCGGCGGCAGGCATCATGACTGACATTGGATCGACTGCATGGGACATTCTTTTAGTTTTTTCTTTTTAATAAAGGACTTGTCAAAGACCGTGTCCTGTCTTTTTTCACATTACACTTTTTGTTTTTTGTGAATGAGTATCGGGACCATGTACCCCATACTCATTCACATAGGGGGGCTGGGATCTGGGGTCCCCCTTGTTAAAGGGGGCTTCCAGATTCCAATAAGCCCCCTGCCCGCAGACCCCCACAACCACCAGCCAGGGTTGTGGCGAAGAGGCCCTTGTCCCCATCAACATGGATTTTGGGGGGGGGACCCCCACGCCATTTTTTTTTTAATTTAGACGTGAGAGTTCCCCTCAAAATCCATACAAGACCCGAAGGGCTTGGTATCGATGGGAGGGGGAACCCAACTCCATTTATTTATTTTTTTAATTGCCGGCAACTCTTTTACATTCAGCTGTCAGTGGGGAACCCCGCTGACAGCTGAAACATTAACACATGGTTGTCACTACTAAAATACAGCATGACTTGATAAAATAACTCATGCGGTATTTTAGTTGCATTTACTTTTTTTGGACTTCTGCAATGGATTAATTGGTTTGAAATGCATTCCTATGGGAAACGGCGTTTCAATTTAGGAATTTTTTGCTATACAAAAAGTCCTGCAGAACTAATTAAATTCATAAACCGAGGTACACCTGTATTCCTTTATAAAAATACAAAGCTTCCTGTGAAAGGCTGACAACTTCTCACTCCAAGTTGATTTTGCTCCGGTAGCAAATGGAATGTCTCTGTATCCCAGCTGGAAGACAGCACCGTATACTGTACATACCTGATGTTACAAATGGTTTATACAATACTAACAGTGGCCACAGCAAATAATAAAGGAAATAGTTTGGTCAAACTATTTAAAGTAAAAGGACTTTAACAATGTATAACAATGTATTTGTACTCGTTTTGGATTGAATTGAGTCGTCATAGTATGGTAATAGTATTTTGCATACATCTTTATTTGCTATACCACAGACACCTGGCTCCTCTTGTGAACCCTGCATAGTTCAGAAACTGCTGGCTTTTCATGAATTCCTCAGATAATTTCAATATTGACTTTTCTGCCCTTAGCTAACAAAGTTCCTGTGAAAAAAAAACACATTTACCTAACATTCGGCACTTTAATTGCTGAGTGATAATTATCTCACGGACACCTGGGAGCACATATGCGACTTCCCCTATGTATAAACTATGGACACTACAACCATAAATCATTTTGGTACAATCTGTGAATTTTTCTGCACCAAATATTGCACATATTGTTTCTGTCCCAATACTTCACACTGAATATCTAGTCTCATGTATTTTCCATTCATTGGCCTGCATTGTGAATGAATGGAAACAGTGAAAATTAGCCTGTGGTATTTAAAATGTGGCACACGGGTTATTTACTAAAACTGGAGAGAAAGAAAGAAAGAGAGTAAGAAAGTAAGAGAGGGAAAGAGAGAGAGAGAAAGAGAGAGATAAAGAAAGAAAGAGAAAGAAAGAAAAAAGAAAAGATTGTGATGAGAGAAGTATGAAAATAGAGTAAGAAAGTAAGAATGAGGGGAAAGAAAGAAAGAGAGAGAGGAAGGAAGGAAGGAATAGAAAAGGAAGGGGAGAGAGAGAGAGAGAGAGAGAGAGAGGGGGGAAAGTGATGAAAAAGAAAGAAAGAAAGAAAGAAAGAAAGAAAGAAGAAAAGATTGTGATGAGAGAAAATAGAGTAAGAAAGTGGGAAAGAAAGTAAAGAGAGGAAGGAAGGAAGGAAGGAAGGAAGGAAGGGAGGAATAGAAAAGGAAGGGGAGAAAGAAAGAGAGAGAGAGAGAGATGAGGGAAGTAAGTAAGAAAGAAAGAAAGAAGAGAAAGAGAAAGAAAGAAAGAAAGAAAGAAAGAAAAAAAAAGAAAAGATTGTGATGAGAGAAGTATGAAAATAGAGTAAGAAAGAGGGAAAGAAAGTAAGAGAGAGAGGAAGGACGGAAGGAAGGAATAGAAAAGGAAGGGGAGAAAGAAAGAGAGAGAGAGAGATGAGGGAAGTATGAAAAATAGAAAGAAAGAAAAAGAAAGAAAGAAAGAAAGAAAGAAAGAAAGAAAAAAAGAAAGAAAGAAAGAAAGAAAGAAAGATAAAATAAGAAAGAAAAAGAAAGAAAGAAAGAAAAAAAAGAAAAGATTGTGATGAGAGAAGTATGAAAATAGAGTAAGAAAGTGGGAAAGAAAGAAAGTAAGAGAGAGAAAGGAAGGAAGGAATAGAAAAGGAAGGGGGGGAGAGAGAGAAAAAAAAGAGAAAGAAAGAAAAAGGAGAGAGAGAAAGAAAAAAAAAAAAGAAAAGAGGTGTGCTGAGATCCGTATGACAATAAAGTAATAAAGAAGGAGTGAGCTCTGAGATCCGTATGTAGACGATGAGTGCAGAGGAGGAGTGCTCCTCCTGTATACAATGCAGTAGATATAGAATAGGTGCGACGTGTGTAGACAGAACCCCGGCCCGTCCATCCCCCTCCCACCCCCGAGCCCATAGTACAGGCGTAGTAATACCTCCTGGATGTGGCGGGACGTCAGTGTCAGCGGGTGGCACCGAGCAGAGCGGCCATCCCTGCAGAGTGTCGGTGCTCAGCACTGTTCCGGTACTCTGTTCATGTCTGGTGTCAGTGGTGGAAATAGTTCTCTTCCTGCGAGGGAGGAGAGGCTGGAGATTTCGACATCCCGTCCTCTGCGTGTTTGTACAGATTTATTTCCCGGCATTTCCAGAGCCTGGGGAGCTCCCCCCACGGAGGAATTAACCGTCTCCATCCCGGCACACTGCTGACAATAGACTGGAGGAACCACTGCTATAGACCGTCCTGTCCCAGGCAGGGTTCCTCCAGAAGTCTATAGGGGTTCCTTCAGCAACGAGCACCTTCTGCCCCTCACATGAATGACCAGTGACACCAATGATCTGTTTATCTTCCCAATGAGCACAAATATAAGGAGCATTCTTCCCACTGACCATCACACCAACATTTCTGCCTTTTGAATGCATGTTTTTGCTGCATTCTGGTGCATTTTTCCCTTTTTCTTCATCTTAATTCCGCGCGTGTATTTATAATGCGTTCCCGTGAGTTCCAGTGCGCTTTTGATGCATTTTGGGACTGTAGAAAGCAGATACAATTTTAACTATAAATAAAAACACTAACACCGACCTTTGGAGTAAAATTTAGCCACGGCCTTTTATTATCAGTTTCAATAAAATATTACCACTTCCCAATCACCCTATAGTTAAAATACTGCTGCAGGGCAGCACAGGGGCACAAATTTAGGTACATATACATGATTTTGCACTTCCAGTTAGGGAGCACGCGCAAGGCGCACCGCCATTCGCAGCCTCAGCTGACAATCATTGGGTCTCGGCCGGTAGTTACTTGCCGGCGCCCGGTAATTACCAAAGATCTCTGACAAGAAGAACTGTTTTGTTTATTAACAGTTCTCCCTGTCAGCTGAGGCACACTGCTTTGGATGGCTGTGCACAAGGCAGCCATCCAGAGCAGTGTGATTACAGTGAAGCACACAGACACCACCCCCTAGTAAAACACTCCCTGCACACAGTTAACCATTTGACCGCCCCTCATGTTAACCCCTTCCTGCCCAGTGCCAATAGTACAGTGTCAGTGATTTTTTTTTTTTTTTTTTTACCGCTGATCACTGTATTGGTGTCACTGGGGATGTCTGAGACACTAAGTCAGTTCTCCCCAGTGTCCAAATGTCCGCCGCAGTCCCGCTGATCGCCGCCATTACAAGTAAACGTTTTTTTTTTAAATCCCAGTATATATATACCGCCATTTGTAAACGCTATAATTTTCACGTAAACCAATTAATTTACACATATTAGGATTTTTTCTTAGCAAAGACATGTCACAGAATACATTTTGAGCTAAATTTATGCTGAAATTTGATTTTTAAATTTTTTTTACTGGACATGTTTTATAGCAAAAAGTCCAAAATTTTGTTTTTTTTCTTAATGTCTTTTTTTTTTATAGTTCAAAAAATAAAAAACACACAGGCGATCAAATATCAGCAAAAGAAAGCTTAATTTGTGGGGAAAAAAAAAAAGGACGTAAATTTCATTTTGGAGCAGCACTGCATGACCGCGCAATTGTCAGTTAAAGTAACACAGCGCCATAACACATACTGCTTCCTGACCGCCCTATAGCAGAAATACTGCTACAGGGCGGCACGGGTGCACAAAATCACATATATATATGTGATTCGCGCTCCCGTGGTTTTCACTCCCCTCCCAGATAGCATCAGATTGCCCGTCAGTACACCAGTAAACACATTTAACCCCTTGATTGCCAGGAATATGCTCAAACACAATAAACCTCCATTGCTAGTATAGTGTCTAAACGGATCAATATCTTTGATCAGATCAGCACTATACCAGCGTTCACATTCGTATAGTGTTCCCAAAAATGCAGCGTTAGCGGGATCAGCCCCGGTACCTGCCAGTACTTGCGTTTAGCCCCTACGCTTACCCCTCCCCTTCTCCCCCACCAAGTGCAGTGTCAGTAGGTCACTGTCACTTGATACATTGCACACAAAACCGCAGTGTTGGCAGAATCAGGCCTGATCTCTGTTAGCACTTGCCGGTAAATTTTAATGACTCTCATATGCAGCAGAGTGCCAGTACTAGTGCCGCGCTACCTTTTGGTGAACTGGTGAGCACCAGTGGCCTAGTACATCTTGGTCTTTCACATACCAGCACTGCAGTATCACTTGGTGAAGTGGCAAGTCCCATAAGTGTAGTACACTACACTTGTGTGAAAAAAGGACATGAATTTCATTTATGTACCGTATTGCATGACCAATGCAATTGTCAGTTAAACCAGTGCAATGCTGTACAGCAAAACAAATGGCGAAAATTGCAGTATCTATACCATAGTTTGTAGACGCTATAACTTTCACACAAAGAAATTAATATACACTTATTTGTATTTTTTTACCAAAAACATGTAGCAGAATACATTTTGGCCTAAATTTATAACTAACTTTGAGTTTACTATATATTTTTATAGCCAAAAGTAAAAAATATAGTTTTTTTTCACAATTTTCTGTCTTTTTTTGTTTATAGCGTGAAAATAAAAGCGCACAAGTGATCAAATACCACCGAAAGAAAGCTCTATTTGTGTGAAAAAAGGACGTAAATTTTGTTTGGGTGCAGCATTGCATGACCGCGCAATTATCAGTTGAATTAGTGCAGCATCAAGTAGCAAAAAGAGGCCTGGTCATTAAGGGGAGTAAATCCTCTGGCGGGCAAGTGGTTAAATGAGCTTTTGTTTACAAAAGGGCTTAAGCTTCTGTGCATTAAGGTAAAAAAATGCCTCACTACCTCTTCTATCCATCTCTAAACACTTACCTGGCTCCTCTCACAGCTCCAGCGTTGTCTCAACTGCAGCACCGCTCTCCCCGCTTCCCGGTTTCACAGGACACACTGAGGGTAGTGGGAACCATAGAATCCTGCTGCTGTCAGTCAAACTCCTGTGAGGATGGAGCGGGGGCATGGCTTATCAACATTGTGTGTGACTATGGATGCACACAGCCCACCTCGGGCGCATATGCATCCATGCTCCCGAGGTGGGCTCCCAAGATGGACTGTGTACATGTAATGCTGTACATGTATTTGTTTGAAAGAAAAATGCTTGCGCGACTCACCCTCTTTAGGAATATTGTTGTGCCCAAAGACCCATTTCAGGAAAACTGGACCTTTGCATTCTCATACATTTTCTGCCACTTCTCTAGTAGTACATCTCTATATGAAATAACTATATTTCACACTTAGCAAAGCACTCTGTTCAACAACAGGCAGTGACATACAGGTCAGGAATTGTCAATGATGATTTTTAAAAATAAAAGTGAAATACCAGTTCATTCTCCAGTGTGTTATATTCATATAGGAGGTTTCCTGGATGTCTACAGAAGAGTGGAGCCTAGGCATGTAACCCATGGCCACAATCTCCTCTTTAGCAATTGTAGGCTTCATTATAAACCATTGCTTAATAGCAGATGCCAGGTATGTGTGTTGATTATCAGGGAGTAAATGTTTTTTTTCTTTGACACAAATAGTGTGCATTTTACTAATATGTCAACCTCTATAGGAGCGAAGATGGGGAGGCACATTTTAGAATTTTCACCTGAGGCACCAGAATGACTAAGAATACCGATGGGGCTCCCCACAACATTTCCACCTCATAATGGTGCAGTAAGTGTGAAACCAGTATTACCTCTATTACCTCTTTGACTACACTATGGTAATAGATGTATCTGTGACTCATACAGAACTCCTATAGTTTTAAATGAAGGAAAAACCCCTGAGTCCTAATAAATGTCAACATAATGAACTATATCAAGGAGATATTGTTTTTCCCAGATCAGTAGAGCATAATACAGTACTAATTACGGTTTGTAGATGATAATCTAGATGGAACAGATAAACTCTCATTTGCTTAGTAACAAAGTACAACTCAGACTGCACCATGGGTATATGAAAACCTAGTTGGTACATATTTTATAACACCACACCTCCATGCCACAGTACATTGTCTTTGAAACTGACATTTACTCATGTATGAACACCAACACAAGAAGTATGTTCAGCAGTCAAAATTGGAAGAAGCAATTTGCACATCTTTGAACAATAAATCTACCCTAAATGTTTTTTACATAGTATGGGAAGGGGTTATAATCTGTGTAAGATTATAATTTCTGTATATGTCCCTGTTTGGGAGTTTTTCTCTTCTTCCTATTCTAAAGTGTTCCTAGATAATGGAAAAGAAATTAAAGTGAAATCTCACTACGGGGATACAGGAAGCTAAGCCTTCACCACTTTACTGAAAATGTTTTTGTGAGCGGGACAGAACACACAAGGCAGACGGCAAACACTTAAAGCTTTATTAAAACAGACAACAGTCACTCAATGGGGAATAGTGCAGGGAGAGAGTCCAAAATACTTGTAATCCAGTCCCAGTGGGCAAAGTTAAAGTCTCTACAGCAATTTGTAATCCAAGAGGCAGTTCATAAGCAGTCAGATAGCACAAGGGAAGCATACACTCACGCAAAGCTGATGCGTTAGTCTCAGGCAGAGCTGACAGAGTTCCAGGCAGGGCTGATGTAGCTTCTGGGATCCCCCTTCCTCCAATGGGGCTCAGGCAGAGCCGGGGGGCCACTAGAGTCCAGCTGGACCCCTCAGTGGCTGCCCAGCAGAATGGCTCCCAGGAGAGACCAGCACTGACCTCTTAAACCCCCTGAGCAGGATGAGAAGTGGAGGGGGATCATTAGCAGGATGGCAATGGAGGAACTGGCTTAATTGAGTTTAGGGACATTTTGGATGACAATGGAGAGAATGGACAGGAATGGAACTACAGTAATTTAATTTGTAGCTGTAAACAGAAAAGACTGGTTGGACAGGATGGACACTGAAACACAATAATTGAATTTGCAGCTGTAAACGGTGTAACAGTGTGGGAAATACATTAATACAAAAGTAAGGCACTAATCAGTGGGGAGGATATTATAATTAGGCAAACGATTGGTTGGACAGGATGGACTCAATGTAG